TCGAGCCCGCACCGCGCTCAACTAGTGAGCGGACCGGTCTCTATATGGGATCCAAACCCTCAGCAGGAGCGCAGCCGTGCTCCCAAGTGCCGCACTCTACCGAGTGTGCCACCGGGCCGGCCCCAGCATTCTCACTCTTTGATTGACTCTCTATAGTGTGATTTTCTCCTTATTCAATCTCTTCAGCAGTCTCTGTCTATACATTCATTGAAACCCATGCATTCCATTCACCTTAGGTTGTTATCACCCCAGCTCTCTCACACTGTCCTTCCTTGACAAAAACATTCACATCACCTTCTTTGAATAATTTATCTCTTTCTTATGTTATTTATCTTTTCCTTCATCTCCAATCCCACCAATATCTCTTTCTCTGAACCTCTGATTAAACCAAACTTTGATCATTCCCTCAAATCCCCTAAACTTCTCACTTCTACTTCTACCCTCTTTTGCTTCCACTCATTTTTTTTTTACTTCCTCTTTCCTCTAATTCATAACCTTTCTTCCCAAGATCCTATTGAGGCACAGAAGACAGGAGGCTGTGAACTGCATTCTGGTGGGAAGTCTGTAGGCTTCTTTCGGATAGCTTATCAAGGATCAGATTTCATAAGCTTCCAAAACAATTCATGGCTGCCATCCCCTAAGAGTGGAAGTAGTGCTCAGCATGTTTGCAGATTCCTCAATCAGAACCAACATGAAAAGAAAATGGTCCAGAACCTCCTCAGTGACACATGCCCACGTTTCATCTTGGGTGTTCTTGAGGCAGGGAAGGCAGATCTCCAGAGACAAGGTCAGTTGTGTATCTTTCCTCCAAGAATTTTATATTCTAAAATTATACCTTTTCATCATCCCCTTCAAATTTAAGTGGAAAGGTGTGTCTCTCTAAACTAATGTGGAGATCTGATCCTCTAAGTCTGTTATAGGATTCTTGTCTGAATATCTTTCCTGTTCTTTACAGTGAGGCCTGAGGCCTGGCTGTCCAGTGGCCCCAGTCCTGGGCCCAGTCATCTGCTGCTGGTGTGCCATGTCTCCGGATTCTACCCCAAGTCTGTGTGGGTGATGTGGATACGGGGTGAGCAGGAGCAGCCAGGCACTCAGCGAGGTGATATCCTGCCCAATGCTGATGGGACATGGTATCTTCAAGTAACGCTGGATGTGGACACTGGGGAGGCAGCTGGCCTGTCATGCCGGGTGAAGCACAGCAGTCTAGGAGGCCAGGACATCGTTCTCTACTGGGGTGAGAAGGAACTAGGTCCCCAGTTGCACATGGGAATAAGAGGTCCTCAGGCAGATCTAAAATATATGGGATTTTAAGGTTTCTAGAACCAAAAGGAAGAAAAATAGATAACTCAAAGAATAGAAATGTGGATAATGAGGGACTTGTAGATGCAGGTTGATGTTGAGGGTTAGATTAAAGATTCATATCTGAGGGAGGATGAGAGAAGAAATGGAAAGGAAAGAAACTGGGGAGTTAGAAACTTAAATGAATATAAGAAGCCTAGGTAAATGCTATACTACAGGGTGTGAATGGGGGTAAAACAGTTGGTGGATTTGGAATAACATCCTTGGTGTCCACCCAAATCCACAGATCATCACAGCTCCAGGGGCTTGATCTTCTTGGCAGTGATACTGCTTCTGGCTCTTCTGACAGGTCTTACATTTTGGTTTTGGAAGTGCCGGTGAGTTCTTCATGCCCATCTTGTTTTCCCCTCTTTTTTTTCCCCTCTCTGCTCATTTCTCCTCCCTATCACTCCTCAGTCCTCAATTCCCGCTTATGCAGAGTGACTCCATCTCTTTTCTCCTATACTTCATATAGGGCACGCTGTGAGCCTACTCTCTGCGCTTCTCCCTTTAGAATGAGAATCCAGTAACCCAGGGCCATGGGACATACCTGAACACAACATGGTAATGACATCCTTCCAATTGTCCTTGTAAAAATTTGTTTATTTCTGCTTAATGATCAGTTGTCAATATAAGCTAAATGTAATTTTGCAGGGCTTGTTGTTCTGACCTGGGTTCCAGAACTTTAACATTCAACTTTTAACTCTTAATGGAACAGGGTCCTAAAAACCTCCACGTTCAAATATTAATGGATCATCAGGCCCATTTCAGATGTCATCTCCCCTGGAGATCCTTCTCTGATTAGCAAGTGGAAAGTAGTTTCTCCCTCAAATGAACTAGCACCACATTTCAGCTGTATTGTGTTAACTATACTCCTCAGTCCATATCCTTCACTGTAGGTAGTTAGGTCCCTTTCCCCTTCTAATTTTTCACCTCTTTGAGAGCAAAGTATGTGTCTTCTTAATATATGCATTCCTGGTGAAATGTCTTGCCTGCATATAACATGTTCTCAATAAAAATCTGTGTTGAATTTATAGTCTTATTGTCTTCCTTCCTGACACTTTGGTAGTAGTTGAGACTTTTCATGCTCTTCTTGTTAAAAGTCTTGTCATTTGGCCAAGAGACTTCACATTTTCCTAATTGTGTAGTTTCTTCTCTGAACCCCTGAGGAGAAACACAATTTCGTCTCTACCACTCTCATCATTCAGCTAGAGATCTGTTAGAGTTTTGGTGTTATTGTAAGTATTCTAAACAAAAAACAAGGCAGGGTGTAGGCCTTCACTATTCAGAGACAAGCAGTAGAGTGATCACATTGCAGTATGTTAAAAACATAGAATCTGGGGCTTCACCTCAGACTCACTGAATTATGATTTGCACTGCAGAAAACCAGCAGGAAATTCCAAAGTGCATTAAAGATTGAGAGGCACTGATGTAAGAGATTACTGAGGTGTATTTAAGTGTGTTACTGAAGAGAAAATGGTCAAGTAAAGGGAACAAGAGTGTTGCTCCTCAGCAAATTATGCAAAGCCCAGTTTGAGTTTTAGATATTTTTCCCAAATAAATATTTATGGTTTTCCAGCCAAAAACTTGGTGTATTAGATCTATACCCTTATCAGTTAATGTTAACTAGGGACTATGCAATATTTGGCATAGGTTTCTTCTCACTAGCCATTTCAGGTCCCAGGTTTCCATGTGGTGCTTGAAGCCATGTAGAATCCAGAGGGCAGTATTCACTATCTATGTCTAAAAGATATTGTTTCTCCCAGCATGGCCAGGAGGCAGAGCTAAGATAACAAGGAGACATGGACCTAGAGACAAATTTAGGTAAAAGGTTTGAAACAAATTTTGAAAATATACTTATCAAAACTTTAGAAGATTTAAGTCAAGTGAACTTGAAAAGTATACTTATTTATTTAATGAGCACACATTAATTATAAGCCAATTTGATACCTTATACATAACACAATTACACAGACATGAACATATAGACATAACATACAGCTTACACAAGTATTCACTATCTAGAATCCAGAGGGCAGTATTCACTATCTATGTCTAAAAGATATTGTTTCTCCCAGCATGGCCAGGAGGCAGAGCTAAGATAACAAGGAGACATGGACCTAGAGACAAATTTAGGTAAAAGGTTTGAAACAAATTTTGAAAATATACTTATCAAAACTTTAGAAGATTTAAGTCAAGTGAACTTGAAAAGTATACTTATTTATTTAATGAGCACACATTAATTATAAGCCAATTTGATACCTTATACATAACACAATTACACAGACATGAACATATAGACATAACATACAGCTTACACATGCATATATGAAGACATAAACAACAAGAACAAATAAGGATCTTATAGGTTTTGTTCAAGATGTAATAGGAAAGCTCACTAGTAAAACGGACAGTCAGGTTTAGATTGTGTTTTTTCCTAAAGACTTATCGGTGAGCTTCACCTTGCCTTAAAGAAAGCAAGATAACAAATTTACATTGTAAAACAAAGTATGCAAAACTTTTCAAGAAGATGCAGAGAAGATTTTCTTCCTTTAAGAAGACAGCATAGAATTCTACCATAGAATTTTGTGGAGAAATACATAGATGAGACTAGAAGAGAATTTAGAAGTCTGTAGGAGATAACCAGGTGGATGTCAGAAAATTTGAGACCATCTAGTTAAACAGGTAGATGTTAGTTTAGTTTTTATTTCTCAAATGGCTTATTGAGCTCAAGAGCTGAGCCACCAATCAGAGATGAAACCACTTGACTCTTGCGGTTTTTAAAAGAGCAGTAGACCCAAAAGGGGTCTGGTTGGCACCATGGCTGCTTTTCTTCATAAAGCTCCAGCGTCTTCAGAGAAAAAGAATTTCATGTACAGTTAAGAAAAGAACCACTGCTTTTAAGAGAGGAGAGAAGCATTGTGCAGATATGAAAGAAAAACATGCTCAAGCAATACCAACACTGTAAAGAAATATTAACTTCTTTTACTTTAGATTGTCCAATTTAAAGTTTTCTCAGTCCCTGGCAAAGATTAAGTTTTATCCTTTTTTGGTGACATAAACTTGTCTTAGTTTTTTGTTAAGGTCTTGGATATGTCTCAGAGAGACTTGACATAGATTCCTAGTTGTTAGGTGGGAAGCCTTAATGAGACCCATTACATAATTAACCAGTGACAAATTTGTTTTCAAGCTTTTATGTTAAGGCTCCCTTCCTTGAGGTATCAAGGACATGGTTGTTTAATATCCACTAAGAGTTTAACAAGCTGCTATTCAGTTACTTACAGCCTGCTGCTTTAAGGAGACATTGGAGTTGTATGTTCAGTCTCCCCTTTCATTAACAAATTATCCATATTTTAAAAGTAAAGAGAATGAAAAAATATCTCTGGGGTTGAAAAAGCCTAACTTTGACCTGCCGCAGGTGTGCAATTGCTAATCGAAAGCCACCTGTCATTCTCTTACTGGGGTGTGTTTCCCTTATTAGGGACTCCCTTGCTGGGATGAATCAGGTGTCCTATTCCTCTCCAGTGCTTGGCAGGTCAGTCTCCAATCTGTGGAGAACATCCTCACATGTGGCACCATTTTGTTGCTTTGTCTTGCTTTGCCCCCCCATGGATTTGTCACCCCACTTCCCCTGGGTGACAGAGATGCAAAGGATTTCTCAAGGCCCATCTCTTCCAAGCAGTGAGAAGTCCCAAAGTGGTTAACTTCCCTGGGAATGCTCAAGTGAGAGGGATCCCTTCCTCAGGAAATTAACACTGAATTGGGGTTTTCTTCCTGCATTTATTTTCCAGACCAGAAAGTTACAGGAAGAGAACATAGGTGGGGTTATAGTTTAACAATATAGGTTGGTTTCAGTAAAACAAGTCAGATGACATTCCAGTATACAATTAAGTGACCTTACAGCAATTTCTCAATATCTTTACATAACAATCAGAAACTATTCTGTCCTTGAGTCAGCAATCTTGTGGTGTCACAAATCTTTATCTTACACCAGAGAGTTATAGCCTGAGGAAAATTTCCAGTCCTCTGCAAGGTCAATATTTGAAACTGCAAGACTTTGGAAAACCAGGCCCTGTGAAGTACATATGCTCTACAGTATATTCCATAGTGTGGGATGGAGGCATCTGGGTGTTCTTCTCTCTGTCTCCTGCCTGTTATATGTGTCTGTGAATGGGCCTCTGAGCCACCAAGGCAGGTTATGCTTAGTTAGAATCACAGACTATCAGAGCTGGAAGAAACCTGGAGTGCTGTCTAGCCCCAGCCTGTGTTTCTCATTTTACAGGTGAAGAAAATGAGGCCCGGAGAGGGAAAGGAAGGCCACACAGGGACCTGAGGCAGGGAGGAGTCAGGATAGAAGCCTGTGTTCCTGAGTCCCAGTCCAGAACTTTTTCTAGATGCCCTGGGTTCCAAAATTTTGGGTCACTGGATCGGCTGCATCTACTTTACATGAGATTGCTATAGAAACAGAGATTCCTGGGTCTCTCCCCTGGAGATTCATATTTAGGACATAAGCCCCAAGAGTCTACACTTTAAAGACCCTCTGTAGGTAAATCTGATGTTAGCCATGTTTGAGAGAAAACTCAGCTAGACAACATGATGAAAAGAGGAAAAGTATACAGGACCTGAAAGAAGAAATGTAGAAGGAAATCAATGCCCTGAAAAAGAATGTAGCAGAGAAAAAGAATGTAGCCCCTGAAAAAGAATGTAGCAGAGTTTGCTGAGCTGAAGAATTCATTCAATGAAATAAAAAACACAACAGAGAGTTTAACCAGCAGGCTTTCAGAAGTAGAAGAGAGAACTTCTGACCTTGAAGATGGGCTGTTTGAAATAACACAGGTAGACAAAAAAAAAAAAAAAGTAAAGAGAAGAAGAAAGAATTAAAGACATTGAAGAAAATCTGAGAGAGATATTAGACAACCTTAAGCACTCAAATATCTGACTCATGGGTATTCCAGAAGGGGAGGAAAACGGAGATTGCATTCAAAACATATTCAACAAAATAGTGGCAGAAAACTTCCTAGTTGTTGGAAAAGACACAGATCTTCATATTCAGGAAGCTCAAAGATCCCCAGTCGTATTCAACCCAAAAAGGTCTTCTCCGAGACATGTTACAGTCAAATTGGCAAATCTTAAAGACAAAGAGAGAATCTTAAAAGCTGGAAGAGAGAAGCATCAAATCACTTATAAGGGAGCCCCAATCAGGCTAACAAGAGAGAAGAGAGAATCTTAAAAGCTGGAAGAGAGAAGCATCAAATCACTTATAAGGGAGCCCCAATCAGGCTAACATCAGACTTTTCATCACAAACCCTAAAAGCCAGAAAGGAATAGGAGGATATATTCAAAATACTAAAAGCCAGAAATTGCCAGCCTACAATACTCTACCCTGCAAGGCTATCCTTCCCAAATAAAGGGCAAATACTATATTTCTCAGACAAACAAAAACTGTGGGAGTTCACCACCACACGACCACCCTTACAAGAAATTCTCAAGGGAGTACTGGGTTTGGTTCCTGAAAAATAACTACCACTGTCATAAAAACCCACGAAAAATCAAAACCAACTAGTATAATAAAAATGGCATTCATGAAGAGAAAACAAACAAACAAAAAGGCTATCTACAACCCAAGGAACCAACAAATACAGAAAACAAACAGTAAGTCAGAAAGGAAGGAGCAAAAGACACCTAACACAACCAAACAATAATCAGTAAAATGCTAAGAATAAATCAACACATTTCAATAACAACTCTTAATGTAAAAGGCTTACATTCCCAAACCAAAAGACACAGACTGGCTGAATGGACTAAAAAGGAGGACCTAACTATATGCTGCCTTCAAGACACCCACCTCACCCATAAAGACTCACATAGACTAAGAGTGAAAGGATGG